TAATGCTAGAACATCGTGAAAGAGAGAATACTTATAAAACCGCAGACAACCACTGGCATGAACCTTTGAAGAATTTTTTAATGAAATAATTTCTGGAATATCCAAGTATGTTGCTTGGTAATAGATGAATAGGTCAAGGGCATATCCAGGATGCTGTCTTGGTCTTGCTAAACCTTCCTCTTTCTATTTAAAGACAATTGATACCTCTAGTGGGTGATGAAATCTGCTTTTTCTGAATTGGGTCAATACGCTGCTAAGGTCATACAAAATAGACTCTTAAAATAACTTTGTATAACGACAAAAGTTTGTTGTCGAAGTAACATAGATAATTTCTACTGAATATCTTTTGTTTCATTAGTGATGTCTATAACTATTCATTTGGGTTACCTGGTGGTACAGTTGTAACACACTTATCTTTCACTTAAGCGACTGGGGTTCGATTCCACGACTGGACGTGGATAGGTATGGGGTCACCTGCCGACCACGTGGGTTTCCCCTTGTACTCTAGTTTCCTCCCACAATAACACCTAAGACTCCTCTTATGCTTTCATCCGGGCCATCAAGAGTGGTTAATGTAAGCTGACAACTAGTTTCTGTGAAATAGTAAACCCTATTATAGGAGTTTTAGTTACCATCGCAGCATATTGTTTGTACTTGTCTATAATGTTTTCTATACATAAAGCGAAGAGAGATATAATATAGATGTGAATATTACATTAGGTGCTATTCCCTACAACAATATTTTTTTTAAAGAAACGAGTAACTGTAATAAAAATGAATTTATCGATTTGAATAGCAATAAATCAACGTTCATCTCATCACATGTTATATGAAATCGTCATTGTTTTAGAATAATTAATATCATGATAAAATTCGTAAAATGTTATGTTTGTCCATCTACTAAAGTGTACTTTATGTATGATCTTTGAAAATACACAAACGCATGTTAGTACTACAAGCTGATATTTCAGGTTTAAGAGAATTCCACAATTCCAAATTCTGTGAATGTGATTTCATGGATTCGAACAATGATCCAAAGTCACATTGTATTAACAGTTTTATCTTGTTTCAAATAATTCCTTTAATGATCTTGTTTAATGTTTCTTTGGAATTTAAAAAAAAATGCTTTCAAGGGTTATAGGTAATATGCGCTGAAATGAATACATAAAGATGTGGAAAGATCAAAACTTATTTTAATGTCGTTTTCAATGTTTGATTTATTATATATTTTTCTATATATGTATGTTGCTGTGTGGACCGCAGAAAATAAGATATACCGATGATATTAACTATAAGAATGGTGATGTAGTACATGGACACCATTGAAGCGTTTTGAAAACCCTATCAGTGTCCAGTGTGTATGTAATATAAGCGGTGATTACACTGGACATCTGTGTCGGAGAGGGAATGATAGTGAACTGGGCCGAGAGTGGAATGACCTCGTGATAGAAATGAAAGGATTGACAAAATACACTGATTTATGGATCGATTGCAGGATTACACTAAGTACAGTCAGTTCAAACAAGTAATGCCACAGCGGTAACACATGAATGGTGCTACAACCGAAGGCAATGTACATCTATATTCTTATTTGAAAGGCTGTACAATGACCAAAGTAAATTTGTGATTTATTTTCGAACGTCCGTTTCTCCCCCTCACACTACTTTCGCTCCGTCCCTATATATGATCTCAGAAATTGCATTGACCTTCCATCCGAACAATGAACCGAATTGATCTCTCGTCTTTCCAACCAGATTACACAGATTCCTTACAAGTGATGGTAAACCTAATTGACAGAAATTGTATTTCTATGTAAAATGATATCCAATTTACATCACTGTTTTACCGACGATAGGGATTTTGTTTTGCACAGTTCCAATTATCACTTTAATGTGTGTTGTTTTAGCGATGAATAATAAAATAAAAACTATTTACAACCTGAATCATATTCTTATTGGAAAAACATGTCCCTTAAATATTCAATATCGCTATAATTCCTTTAGTGCTTTGCTGCACTATGCCCTGTCGCAATTTCTCAGCAATGAAGACAATGTTCAATGACATTTGATGCAATCATGAGAAAACAAATGATATGTTTAGCTCTCTTTTTCAGCGAAATCAGTCTTCCGTGTCGTGAAGCGCCCATGTTCTAATATTGACATCTGTGTCCGTTATCCATCGTCTGTTATGTTATGTTTTAGACCAAGTACTGAATTAGTTTAGTACATCTAGTATTATTTGTTATATGTTGCCTGTATTTGGTAAAATTATTTCTATAGTGTTCAAGATCAGTTTGTAGAATTGAAGATTGTCACCGTGTGAAGAAAATAGAAAATTTCATATGTTTTGGGACATTTAAGGACATTGGGTACATGTATCATTTGAGACATAAGCACTAGATACAAGGGTTTTCATTGACCATCATCCATTTTTGTCTCCTCGCTGATGTCATTCGTTCTCTAAAGGAAGATAAGGAAGAAAGCTTTTTGTCCTTTAGCCGTCTATCTGCTTTTCGTGATGTCCCACACGCACATAAAACTTATACATTATGCATGGCCGGAGTTATATAAAGCTTAGCTCGACGTGGCACCAATTTTATGAAATAATTATGACTTGCATATGAGACAAGTTCGTTGTAAAAAGCCTAGTAACCTCAATTATTGGCAGGAACAAAATAGCTAGAGGGGAAATGGTTATTATGTGTTTTTTTTTACGGCCAAGGCTGGAAAATCATAATTTTAATTGTCAACGATTTCTGCGAGAAACTAGGTTGCCGCTTTTATACCTTGTATCATATTGGTTTTATTAGGAAGGACTTGAATATAAATCGTTCACCACATAACACACTAACAGCGAAATTTTAATGTAGTTGATACTACAAGCAGTTTACACGGGGATATCACAAATCACACGGTCTTGTACTTTTCTGAAACCCTCATAAGAATTTGTTGGATTTCAAATTTATAGTCATTGGCACAAACGCAAATTAAACGGATCGGTTAATGATGAAGAATAGGAGAATGATTTTATTGGATTAGAAGAAAAGCTTAAAAAAGACTGCAGGAATTTCATGGAATATTACTTTTTTACCTTATCCTCTTATCCTTCCGAATCGGAGATATGTTTTAACGTTATGCTCTCTGAAGGGGTACTTCGCTCAAAAATAAATTCCAGTTCCCGTTCGAGCATTACCAAATATGGTATATTTACAATAGCTTATTGACAAACTCTTTAAATGCCTACGCTTCCTTGCATTTGAATAATATTTACATATGGCATGGTTGTTACTGCAGAGTGAAGGTGATGTCAAATGCACTATGTTTTGGAGTACAATAGTTACTGTGGAGATTTTAATTATCCCTTCTATAATTAATCGGCAATGGTTATTTGAGAAAATAAAGTGGGTTGCAAAAGTGCTTTGCGTTCTGGTGACTTCTTAATCCAATTACAAAATTGAATATATTTGATAGTAGTAAACTACAAACTGCAAAGATTTGCTGCTTCAAGTTTCATAATATTGAAGGAGACGACGTATTAAGGTTTATTTTATATCTTAGTTGTATAACTCCCTATTATTGTAATAATAATATCGATTTACGTCTCAGAACGGTGTTTTCTAGTAACTTTTGGAATTCGTCTATTTTATGCGGTCGCTAATGATGCGAAGTTAAATAATCGTATCAAATGCTTTCTATGTGTATATCGGCTTTTTTCTAATTAGATTTGCAAGTGATTCTTACCATAAATGGTAGATGGTAGAATACCAAGTAAACACAGCCTATTCAAAATCAGCTTGTAGCCACGCGTAACGTTGAAGCATCCGACACCAAAGAACGCTATCAAGTTTCCTGAAATTCTTGAACCTCGGTTTAATTTATTTTGACTTTTTTCTTTTTGGTTTCCCTTTGAAAATAGTGATAAAAAGAAAAAAATTAATGGTTTTCCGTTACAGATATATATTTCTCTCATATAAAATATCAAGCAAAATAAAGATGTTTTGTCGTAAAATTTACAACGTTTATGGTATTAAATGAAAAAAAACCCCATTAAATATTATCTTTTTATTTCTTAGAGCCAATTATAATTACACTTCATAACGAGTTTTCCCTCGACAAAGTTTCCATACAATCGGTGAGGTGTTACCTAAAACACAGTTTTATGACAATCCTTCCATGTGTACGGTTTACAATGTTTCTATATCAATGTTTGTGTTTTAGCTCCCTTCATTCATAGTTTTTATTTTTTCTAATATTGTGTAATGATAACACTGATTCTTTCCGATTTCATCCAATACTAGATCTAAGATTTGGACATCTTCAGTTGACTCCTAGGCTTCAAACGTTAGGCCCTTAACATCATTGATGAGCCCAAGATAGACGAAACAGGTGTACGATGCAGTTTTATTTATTGTTTGACTTAACACTATTTTATCTAAATTTGTATTAAAAAGGTGCTATTCACTTGTGAGTCTTTTGTACAATCTTAAAATGTCCCAATGTCAATCTCCTTGATGAGCTTAGAACCGTATTTCTCACCGACACCTACATGAATTCTTGGCGTGTACGTGAAATTGAACTTGTTTGAAATCCCTAAGTCTTGCTTTATTAATCGTTGCCATAACCTGCATGCCACGTAATTCATTCGAATAGTGGCAATGTTCAAAATATACACATGTACTTGACGTTTTTCTGAATACACAAAGATGACTCATTCTATTGAATTATGGGGAAAGAGCGCCTTCCCCTACAGACTTTGACATTTCTTTCGATCGCTTTGGACTTTCCTTAGTCCTCTCCTAGGTTTGACATTAAGGCTCTTAGCATCGCTGACGAGTCCTAGAAGGACGGGACAGGAATATGATACAGCTTAATTTATTGTTTTGGCTCTGCTGTATCTTATCTAAATTTGCATCAAATTGTATTATCCATTTGTTTGTCTGTTGAACAATCTTTACTGTCGTTCCCTCGCCGTATATTATTTTCGACCTTTTATCATTTCAGTTCGAGCTCCTATACATCGAGGTCCTGTATACCATCAAACACAAGATCGGAACAACAGCAGGAGGACACTCCCCTTTTATACAAGACTTGTATCAGTATGCACAGGAAGCGTTTGGCATCAGTCCAGAGGACCACGCCCATCTTCTGGCTAGGGCTACAGAGGAAAAGGTAACAATTTGTGGTCATACATAAATTGATTTCTGGACAGGAATATCCATAAGTTCATGGTACCTTTAATTTCATTAAAAGTATTTTTATTGAATTCTAGATTTTCTTATATGTTGTAGGTTATCAGTTTCCATGTATTATTGAGTTCAGTGTTTTTGCAAAATGTGTGCCCAACTTCTGTTTTCCTGAGATAATTAGATCCGACCAATTATTACACTACAATAGGTTTGTCTTCAATTGACTTGGATCGTTTTTAGTAGTAGTAATTGATTAAAGTTTATAAACAAATCACTTATGAACTCATGAAAAGAACACTGGTAAATATATTCAAAGATTCATTTTATGTTATATATTCCTGTTTTAGCCTCCTATTGTCATCGTCAACATAACAGTTATCAAAGCCAAAGACTTAGAAGCAAAAGATGCGGATGGTAAGCGTACATTAAACTTTTTTTAAAATTAATTAGTATGAGTGAAGGTTCTAAATTATACGTCTTGCAAGTCATTATAACTAGATCATTCATCTTCAGTTTCAGGTAGATAAATCTATAAAGGATGTGTGGGTCTAGCCTACATTCCAAAGATTGTTTAATTCACCAATAACCAAATCAGTATTAACCATTAACCAAATCAGTAACGAACAATTGACCATTTCAGTAGCTCAAACCAGTACATGAAGTAAAAACATAAAGAATAATTTGTGTTGTAGTAATTATCAATAGTCAGGAAAACCAGTCTTCCATGATGCTTACCCCTAAAACCCATTTTCTAAAACGGAATAACCGAAATCTAATTACGGCTTACTATTATTGAAGACACCATATCAATAAATGTAGGAAAACAAATCTATGTGTGCGAAAACGACCTTTCTTGCAGACGGTATGACGATAAACTTGATTTCACACGTCATAACTTAAGACAGAATAATAGAAATTCTTATAACACAACAAGTTGAAGATTAGAGTGTGACGTTTCGATGACTACACGGTCACCTTCATGAGACAAATGGCCAGTATAGAGCGTACTATTGCAGACGTACATATTGTAAGAGATGGTAAGGAACCGACCAACATGTTCGGCTGTAATATAAACATATATACATTAAGGACAATACCTATGGTCGTAACTAACTAGAAGAAAATGTTCTAAATAACTGAAGACAATATGACAATAAACTCACTCCCACACATTATATCCGAAGATAACATGACAATTACTTGCCTCCAAACATTATATCTGAAGATAGCATGGTAATTACTTGCCTCCACACAATATATCTGAAGATAGCATGACAATAAACTTGCCTCCAAACATTATATCTGAAGATTGCATGGCAATTACTTGCCTCCACACAATATATTTGAAGATAGCATGACAATTACTTGCCTCCAAACATTATATCTGAAGATAGCATGACTACAAACTCGCTTCCAAACATTATATCTGAAGATAGTATGACAATTAATTGCCTCCACACATTATATCTGAAGATAGCATGACAGTAAACTTGCTTCCAAACATTATATCTGAAGTCAGTTTGAAAATAAACTCGCTTTTAAACATTATATCTGAAGATAGTATGATAATTAACTTGCTTATACACATGATTGCTGAAGCAACATATTTGCCTGTATTAAAATACGACATAACAGTAAGCTTACTGTAACACAGTATATTAGACAATGAGCGTTCTTCAACACGGTATAGTTAAATATGACAATACAATGATCGTACTCTAACCCATTCTAGTTAAGACTTGACCACGTGATTACTCTCACACATCATTTATACTCAACAAACTCAGAAATATGATGCCTTGAATTTATTGCTATTCTAAACAATGTAATAGCGAGCATGACAGGAGCCGACTGCGATGCGGCCACTTAATGCTAACTCGCGCGAATAAAAAAAGAAATGAAATTTTTCACACATACTATAAGTCACGATTTATTCAAACAAGGAGTGGCTCCTTAAACTTTAGGTTAAATGCATATTGTCGATGTAAATAGCGCTATAGCATGATGAGGCAGGCCTTCTAGTGCATAATACAGGATATTTTGATTTTCGTAGACTTTGTGTTCTTAAAATCCAACAAATAACGGTAAATTAAGTGTCAAATTTTTTCGGCGGTAACGAACCTTTTACAGAGGAAGTAATCATCCCATTTAACACCATAGAATGGCCACAGATTCTTTCATATTGGAACTAATTTGAAAGCGTCCTGAATGTCTGTTTTACAGAGCCAACTACCTTTGCCAAGTTTTAAAGATGTCTAAAGCATGATCGATTGTTACATAGGACAAGGAAAACTCGGCCTTTCCAGATCATTGAGGCTAGGATGCGTTTCGTTGACGTGTGGCGTAGATAGATCCACTTTCTTACCTGAGTATTTTTCTTCTGCTATACCAATAGAGTTTATCCTATGATTTCGCAATAACACATCTTTAAATGTTCTTGTAGTATCTGGTCGTTTCACTGCTGACCATAGGTTTTTGCATTCGTAAAGTATAGAGCTCGAAGCCCCGTTTTGAATCCTTATTTGAAACTTTGCACTAGGTAATCTACCAATTGTCTATTGCGATGAATTTTCTGCTCTACATTGCACGGGAGTCAAAGGCAGAATTATTTGCTTAGTCCCGTCTCCAGTGAGTTTTATTTTATTTTTGTAAAAGACTTTGTTCGATATGTTCTCCTTTGCATAGTAAACCCAGATGAAGATGTTTTAAAAAATTGTTTCTTGTACAGCCGTGAGCTGTGTTGAAATTGTTACAGATTTCTTTGCCATTGTGTTGCACTTTTGCCCTACCTGGCACAACAGTAGCACGGCTGTTGCTGGTCTCTGATGCGTTGTGAAGATGTGAGCACGCAATGTCCGCTCTAGGGCAGACACTCTTTTGGTGCTGGTTGCTGTCACACACAGAACATGTACTGGCTTTATGATAAGAGAAAATTCCACAGAACAAAGTGTTATTTCTGACTGACCAATCCACTTTAACATTTTATATTCAAGATAAGCTGCTGCTTGTGCCTAATTCATTTTACGGTATTCATAAAACCATTTACCATTGTATCGACTTGCCAAGTCAATGATATCCCTTTCATACGCTTCTAGCTCTTCTCTGTGTTGTGGATGAACCTGGCACATAACGTGACACATAACTGCACAACCGTCACTCAGACGTCAGGTACTAGAGAGCAAAGATGTAAATTAGCCGCCTTGCTCAACCATGCACAGTTTTGATGAAAGGCAAGATTTGGCTGAATAACGAAATTTCGTCCGACAATACTGGTGTTGCGCTACGGGCCACGAGAATAGTATAAAGCCCACATCTCCATTAACAGATTTTGGTACGATTCGTTGTTTGATTTTTTTCAGAATATTTTATTGTACGGATCGTATGTACAAAAGGAATTGGGCAACAGGCAAAGCCTATATTAGCCCTCTCGTTGTTTGATAGCCTTGTCGTGCTATTACTATCGTACTAAGAATTCGTACTACCGTAAATAGTCTTATGCATGGTCTTGAACTCGGAAGGTGACACATCCGATGTCGACGCGTGCACAGTTGTGCCACGCCGCCAACTGGCATTAGATAAAGATATCGACGTCGAATTCGGGTCCAGGTTGTCTCGTACTCTCAACACATCCTTGATAGTATGGTATACTTGCTCCACGGAGCCGCAGTGCTGATTTAAATAAATGACAGGCCCTATTTACGTTTGAATATCAAATAATAGGCGGTCTAATTACACAAATTGTAGTTCGTCCTTTAGGACTGAAGGTCCTTGGGAATAGGTTTCTAGCCCGGAAAGTCACTGTATATTTATTGTGATATATGCCGGGATGTCTAGACATACTAACTTTAGTATGAACTTGTAACCATGGAAAGAACCTGAAGACCATGACATGGATAGAGAATCCTGTGTATGTACAAAGAAGATAAATCTTAATTAATAAAGACAAGAAATAAGCTTACTTTATCACACTATAGTTAAGGCATGACAGTAAGGTTACTTTAACATATTTTGATTAGTACATGACCATAAGCTTACTCGAAACATCATAGTTACGGTACGACCATAAGTTTACTGTAACACATCATAGACACGACCCTCAGCTTACTCTAACATATAACAGTTAAGACAAGACCATAAGTTAGTAAACTAACTAAGTTAAGACATGACTATGAGCTTACACTAAGAAATATAAGTATATGACCATCAATTTATTTTAACACATTACAGTTAAAGACAACATGAAAATACGCTGACCCCCAAACATTATTTTTTGAAAAGATGATAAAATTCTTAATCCCACACAAGAAACTGGAGGAAGACAGTAGAATTAGCTTACTCCAAATGACGAGGGCATACACTGAAATTGAAGACGACACAACAATGACTTTCTCTCAAAAATCATTGTTAGTGTAAACAACATTTTACTCAATAGTCACCAATATCACATAAACCTACATTACTTTTGCGATTGGAATGCAAGATTGGAACTAGTATTAATTTCCTTAACCACTCTTTTAGCTGGTATAATAATAAGTCAACACTTTTACTAAGATGACACGAGGATAAGCTCACTCCCACATGCTTTTAAAAAAGGTCAAACAGTATATTGGAGTTACCCTGTATATTGAATTCCCAATGAAATTGAAATGATTTTGTTTCTTAATCACTGTGTGAATGTAGCACTTTAAAACAATGACATTACAAGATATTTCACAGGCGCAGTGGTGATATTATTATATCATTTGTCACAAGTGTAGTTCGTCATAAGTGTTTTATAAATCTCATCATGGCAATTCACAAACGCAGAAACATTACACCTAAAATTTAAAATGTATTTAATTGAATTCTGTAAAAGAGCTGCGGGCTTTAAGATTTCATTTAAACATTTTCAAAACTATTCACAGTAAACAGCTGTATGTGTCCTTGGGATTAGATTCATTTCAATCAGTATATTGTAGCACCTGCTCACATGCTTCAAGCATAACCATTTAATGGAATGTTCACAGGCTCTTCTTCTTTTCTGTTGTTAACCTATCTAAAATTCAATCAATTTGAAGCATTTGACATTTCCGAGTGGGTCACACTGAAGATGTTCCCAAGTACACACCATTTCCGTTCCCGGTTCCAGATCTGCATTATTTTACTTCCCTTACCGCTGGACCGTTTGGCTAATTGCTTCTGTGAAATGTTTTCTCTCCTAAACCATTCCTTTCATTTTTACTGATGCAGGTATTGTCGCTGATGACTTACACGTCTCCGACATCTTTTGAATGTGATCAATGACGGTAGTTGAAGAATTTGTCAACTGCATCTTGTATCTGTAATATGCTATCATCAAAGGCATAAACACCCTGTTCATTTTGGATGCGATTGTTGTCGATATACCGAGAGAGTAAATCATAGGATTACAAGAGGATACGGGTATTTTTTATTCCTCCCTCTACAAATCGACTTATATACATTTAGAGGAACAATAGTTTATGAGCTATTTTTAATCTGCAGGAGGATTTACTGATGTATATCAATAAATGTATTGAAAAACAAATATAGACTCTAAATATTTGACGTCAAACAAGTTTTACTGCTGATTTAGAAATGAGTAATTACATCGTCATTGTGTAAATATCACATTAGTATACAGTAAAATAACTTATGATCAAATAACAGGATGTGTGTAAGGAATCGTGTCCATAACACATGAAAGCATTAATGCATTTTCTCTAGCGACTCAAAGAGATACAGATCATCTGTGATATTTCATTGTATGATCATATGGGGCGACTCATATTGAGCAGGATTTATTTGTAGCAGGATAGACACAGATAAACCAGATTTCATTTTCATATCAATCATATAAACATCAAATTAGATACTCTGTATGACTTTTGCACTATTTCGATATTTCATTTTATATATAAAATTGTTTAATACATCATACGCTTTATCTTCATGCCCTAATGAAGCTGAAGTGAGCTACATTAGTCGATGAGAAAAGCTAGATATTTCTATTAGTAAAACATGGACAGAAAATATAACGTTATAAACGTTTGATAGAAAAGTTACTTGTATTTTACCACTAGAGTACAAAAATATCAATCACACATATTCTTTCTTTTTAGGATTCAGTGACCCCTATTGCATGTTGGGAATTTGGCCCGGACGGCTGGCAGATGGAGATGTTTTCTCAGACGAGGACGAACAAGCAAAAGCTAAGGAAAAGAAAGGAAGCATTAGCAGAAAGCTGTCGATGCCTGGAAGTAAAAAGAAACGAGATAAATCGGCTCGTGATGTCATTCCAGCAAAATATATTCGGAGCACTAATGTTGTCCAGAACTCTCTACACCCCGTGTGGAATGAAAGGTTCCGGTTGTAAGTAAATTTATGAAGTGTTACAACAGATTTAAAGAAAGACTGAGTTTGTTAGTTTGCCAGTTGGTTTCGTTGTTCCCTTACCTTGTTTTCATTTGAAAACATGACATTACTTACTTGAATTGACCAAGGTTTGCGTAGCGAGTGTCATCGATGACGCAGATGGCGCATACTCTTCCGGAACATTTGCTCTTATTCTCCCTGTACTTTTTCATGACTCTCCAAGTAAATATTTCTTTTGTTCATAGTTTACCCAGTTTTATTGAATCTGAGTTTAAAATATGATAATGATGACGTGTTTGCATTTTTTTTATTACTACATATTGAAATCAAAGGGTAAAATCTGATTTTCAAATTGTATATTAAAAAAGCAACCATAATGACTCTTGAATGAAACAAAATAATGCAAAAACACAATTTTCAATATACGTATCGCTATTTATGCAATAACGGCACGAGCAGAACAAATTCGATTTAACCAGGCTAAAAGGTTTCTACCTGCATTTCTTAACGGTCTAAGATGTGATGCTTATGTGTGAAAAAGGTGAAAATCGCCATTTATACTGATGACTTTCGTATGTGGTGTTAGTGCCTTTTGAGAAATAAATGTCATTGTTCTACTTTAAAAATTAATTCACATTAATTCCCTGAAGAAAATGGAACATAATTAGAAATATCTAATTACCGTATTTAACTAACTCTTGAATCTCCAGAGATAACTGATAACAATGAGTATACGTAATTAAACAAAGGTCGTTAGAGTAAGGAAAGATTCCTATACATCTTTGTCAAGGTTATAGTTTGTCACTAATAGGCTAAACACAAGCGAAGAGCTGCTATATTTACGTGTCAATAAAATATTGTCTGAGCTTGAATGGTCTCTTAAGTAGATGATACATTTCTGGTCAATGTGATGGGTCATTTGCTACAACAGACGATCTGTTGCTAACATGCTATGGTCTTCAACACTCGATTTTGACATGTCCTTAATGGTAATAGAAAAACTTTTTTTTCCATATCGACACATAGAGATTTTCCTTTAACACTTTCCTATAGGCAGAGAGAAATTCAAATATGTCTTTAAATACGTGATCATAATTAGGTAGAAAATTTCTTGTCAGCAAGTCTTCTTTCGTGCCCTAGCAAATAAATACGCATATATGTTCTAATCGAGTATATTAATCGCCTTGGTTTACAAGGATACCAAAAAAATCATTAATACATATCATTGTATCAACGGAGGAAGTTCATATAAAATAGCAAAACAGTACACGCAAATATTTCCTTTAAAGAAGTTAGTTTATCATATCTCTGTAGTTTTTATGTAATTTTTTTATTTATCTATATATTTTGCAGTGACTTGGAAGATGTTCATTCGGATCGACTTCATCTGGATATCTGGTGAGTAGAAACGAAAATGTTTAAAATCATAATCTCAATGACATGATCAAAGTTGATAAGTCTGTTAGCATAATATAAGTTAAACCATCGTAACGCGATGAAAATGCTTAATGAATTGGGTTTTTCTCATTAATACAAGCAATGCAAAGACAACTCCAAAATATATAATGTTTTTAATATGAGAAAGATGTATAAAACATTATTCTGAATATACCACGTCAACACAAGAGGGAGAATATATCACATGGTCATAACACATAGCTGAATATACCATAGTGTCACCTAACACACTGAATATCACAAAAAACACTAGGATGAATATACTACTGCTTCAGCACACAAAGCTGAATAGATAAAGTATTAAATATATATTCATTTTCATATAAAAAAGTGGGAATTTGAAGAGAGCGACAAAATAAACCTAACGCCCCACACCTGATGACAAGAAGAACCGCCACGGGTTGGAGCCGTTGATAGACAGCAGCAGTAGCACATTAACAAAAGAAAATTTCAAGGCGTAATTAATTTAACGCCTAGGACGCCTACTCAAAAAGGAATTAGAAAATAAATTGAAACCATTTTTCAGAAGATTATGCCGTGTTTTCATCTTGTACAGGTGCCGCTACATTTATTATATCTTGAATTCGTTATATATAAGTAAAGTTTTGTGTACATGAAATGAAATATAAACAGATAGGCAGAAACACATTTCCTCTGGGGCTTGGGACTTTTTTCTAGAATAGAGCTGAAGACGGACATTTTTACAGCATGATCGAAGCTACGTTACATCATTTCAATGAAGATCGAGCTTAGGAAAAATCTTTTCTAATGCGATTATGTATCTTTAAGCATTACACAATATATTGGAGTATTGCACACATGTCCATTGACAAAAACTTGAGCAATGAGATGAAATAGAAAACAATTTCGTTTGAAATGGTTATAATGAAAGTATGGTGTACGTAGTAATCCAGAAGCTCGCTACAGATCGATTCATACAAGTTCCGAAGGAAATTTAAATGTCATTAACAACTAGTAAGCTAATTTTCTAAGAGGTTGATATTAATTACAGAGACGAGTATAAGGTACGATAAAAATGACTTATTTACCTTTGATGTGAATAGTTTGCAACGGCTGTACTGTCTAATAATCTTAAACCTATTAACAGTAGTTGATATTAATCGTATTTAATGATAGATTAAATGTAAACTTTACCTTAATAGTTGACAATAACTGATTTAAATATGAGATACATGTAAATAGTTGTCGTAAACAGCATTTAATGATAAATCTAATATGAACTTGATATAAATTAACATATACTGCATTCAACGATAGATTGAATGAGTACTTCATATACATAGTTGCAGTTAACAGCATTCAGCGATAGAATGGTTAATCCTATCATTGATAAATGACAACCGAATTTACTTATATTGATTACCACCATGATTTTCTTATTTGGTCTCAGTCCGAGACATTGCTTCTCAGCCTTACTCCTTACGTAATGGAATTAGTTAATAATTATCTTATCGACTTGAAAATGAATTTGAATGTGATAGTGGCAAGTGATGTTGGAATAATTATTTATATTTTTACATACTTCGTGTTTTAATAAGATCAATAGAAGATACGGAGGAGTTTTGGTCATTGTTTCTGGCCCGTTCTTCAGTCGTGTTCCTGATGACGCTGATTCTGTACCTTGGATCACCAACAGAAATACTGTGTGTTAGATATAGTCTCTAGATAAGGATTAGTTATAAAACGAAGCCTGTAATGTTGCAATGACACATGTTGCAGTAGAACTAATTACACGTTTTTTTATCAGCCAACGAAGCTGTCTCATCAGAGGTTGTTCATTAGACTTAAGCCTGACCAAGTTTACCTGTACTTGTAATGCTAGATCCTAGGGGAGATGTCACTTAAAACAAATAGGCTTCGTTAGTTACTCATTGCAAGACTTTCAGATAAATTCTTAAAATGTCAATTATTGCATATTTTGAAACATCAGAAAATATTGAATGGCCAGTGTTAGGTTTTAATGACTACACTGTCTGCCAACATCAGACAAATGATCAATGTATTTGCACTTAGGTAAGCTCTGATAGAAAAGGATTGGTCTATCAGAAACCTTGTCGATATCAATTGTTCAAAACTTTACATGATCTTTTTAATGAAAATGCGTTCACAGTTTCCATTTAAAAGACATATAATTAAAAAGTTTGATTTATAAAAAAACTTATTATCTAAACAAATGAACAATATATACATAAAAAACAATCATACAAAAGCCATAAGACACAGACTAAAAGTGAAATAAAGCAAAATATAAGAAACATCTTGTAACATAATGGATAACATCTTATTATTTGATGCAATTGTAAAAGAAAGTATTAGAATAAAGCATATCTGTCTAAAGATAGAAGATATATTCAATAGAGGAAACAGAAACTTACCTGACGGTTTTATTAAATAGTTCGAGGACGTGAAGATGCATCTTTAACGTATAAAGTGTTTATTTAAAGCTGAGGTCGTGTCTAGGAATGGCAACAACCACGTCGTTACAAAAGCGATGTGAGTGATATATGACAACCATGATTATCACAGGTGGCTCGTGTTTTCCCTGTGATGGTGTTGACGAAACACGTCTGTTATACCGCACATGTAGCACACTTTCTCCCCATAGGGACCGCGTGGAAGGCGTTTAAATGTGTTAGGAGAATGAATCATCAGTTCTATAATCAAATAATTGCTATGATTTGATGCCGGTAGTTACAATGAAAAAATACGTATAATCCGTCTTAAGATTTTTAAGGTATTATGTTTCCTTGCACTAAATAAATATCTCTCGGGGTTTATATAATAAATTTAGTTAAAATATATTCTGATTTTGAGAGCCGAAAATGTCTTATTTAACAATCTCTAGATGGTTGTCAGCAACTCTAGGGTTTTCTTCTTAAATGCGGGAACCGGTGCAATGAATACACTCACTTTTCCCTGGTGACAACTATTAAACTTTCAATAAGAACGGCATGATAATAAAATATTTAAAGGTAATCTAACTTATTTTTGAAGGAGATGCGCTTTCTTACTTTAATTAAGAATACAGCTAGTTCTCCAAAGGGACATTTTTATGTCACGAAAATCTTAGGAATGATGTCGTCTTTTACTCTTGCGGTAATTCGACTTTATTTTTCTTTTTTTTTCTAATTATTTTCGTCGAAATTGATAAAAAAAACTAAAAAAACATTAACGTTTATACGTTAATTACTAAGGAAAGCTGAAATTCAATTTTGTGAACGACAAGGGAAACCCAGGAGGTAATATATTGTAAGATTACTAGTTGATAGTCTCCTGAGGCGCCAGGCAAATGTCACAAGGGAACAAAACGAACACAGGGCGGACATTTATAGACTAGTGGTCCTCCACTCTCTAATGATGATGACTTTGTGGCGATTGAAGTCGTCGCGGCGCTTGAAAACACAACCAGCGAGAGTGATCGGTACATAGCTTCTGTGTTTTCTTATCGTCATGGCCTTGAGGATATCCAACACTTACGTCACACCCTTGGTTGAATCGATCACTGTAAAAGAAGAGTAGGACCATGATATTGGAAGCAATATTAGCTTAAGGACCTTTCATTGACTGTAGTATTCTTCATTTGTTTATATATTAAAGATAATTTTCATTGCATCCATGTTATGATGTTGTCCAAATTTTAAACATTTGAGAACTATGCATTCATCAAAACATACCGGTTTAGCAAGGATAAGATTATCAATTTTCGGAAATGACTGTGGCAATTCGACATCATTGTTATTTTGTATCTAACATAAATCTTTTCGGACTTATTCGTATTAAAGGTGATGGGGCCTATATTGGAAGTTATGACCCTGGAGGTCTACTTGACAAGGGCTCTGGAGACATTCTAATTAGACTGTCTGATTGTTTTTATACGTAAATATGTGTTGATCAGACAGTCTTCCGATTAGCAAGACAAATTTTAGAAGAATTTGTAACCATATTGCTTCTCACCTGTATCACTAGGATAAATTATTCCTTCTTTAATTTTATTTTTTTTGTTTTTTATTATCCTAATCACAAAACAGGTAAATTGGAAAAAGCAATTGGTAACAATGTGACAATATATATAAAACGGACGGAGACATCGAAAGTACATTTACTCCTCCTAGTCGATACATTACTCTATAGTGATTCAATAAAATCACCGCAGTGTAATTTACTTACCAGCATTTAATTGGTTAATCTACAATTCTAGAATTTACCTACTGATACGCAGCCACCCTAAGAGAAGTTTCGGGGCCTCTGCTTGCGTATTGAAGCCAATTTTGAACTGGTTCCTTATAATCTATTGCAAGGCAATTTCTTCAGGATATAATTTATTATCAAATGAAACATGTTTTGATCATATCATTATACGAATTTCATTTTTAATACTATCACAACATTAAGTTCTACGTCTAATAGAAATAATATATTGAATTATATTTTTAATTAACCTTCTCATCTTCAGTTCTACTAGTTCACCCCTTTTTTCTAAACCAACAATGCATGACCTAGTATCACTGACACGTTCTAAAAAAACAAGACAAGTGTGCGATGGAGTTTGTTTCGTTCTTTCCAGCAGATTGTCATGACAATCTGACAATCTGATAGTAATTAGTTATGACGTCAAATTGATAAAAGAGAACCCTTTAGTCAAACAGAATGTCCGTTGAACAATCTATGTTATTATATAACAATAACATAAATAATTTACAATAAGAGTTTTTCCTATTTTCCAACCAGCATTCTCTTCATACTGGTGATTTTTTCCTAAGCCTGTTTATTTCCATATTATAACAAATATCCATTTATTCATGTAACGTTCTATTTTGGAAAATTTGCATTCCTCAGGGACCATGACGACGAATTTTCTGTGATTGAAGCAGCCAAGAAACTAAATGAAGTGAAAGGTTTCTCAGGGTTGGGTCGGTACTTCAAGCAAGTGGCTCAGTCAGCGAGGACGACTAAGAGCAGTGGAAGCGTCGACGATTTTTTGGGTTGTGTAACAATTCCCCTTCAAGTAAGTGTAGTGTTGTTGTGTGTGTCATTACGTCATCATTCTACTGTTCGGTAGTAGGATGGGGAAAGTTAGCAAGGACACAAGTAAATAAACAAACCAAACAAACAAAGCTAATAGTAATGCCTAGATCCGTTTAAACATTACCATTATCACGGGTTTGCCACGTCAATCCATACGGGCTAATTATATCGCTTTAGTTTTTCCTTGTGTTTCGCCTTATAGAACTGAAAAAGAGAGGTAAACGGAATGTTATGATTTTATTTGGAAACTTACTTTATCTAAGCCACGTGATCAGGTCAATATCATTCATTACACGTGTTTATATTTCCTTATTATTCACTACACCTGTCCATAGTTCCGTATAGTTCAATACACATGTTCAAAGTACCGTATAGTTGATACACCTGTCCATAGTTCCTTATAATTCAGTACACCTGTTCATAGTTCCTTATAATTCAATACACCTGTCCATAGTTCCGTATAGTTCAATACACATGTTCATAGTTCATTATAGTTAATACACCTGTCCATAGTTCCTTATAATTCAGTACAACTGTTCACAGTTCCTTATAGTTCAATACACCTGTTCATTGTTCCTTATGATTCACTACACGTTTGTATACTTCCAAATCATTCACTACACGTGATTATATTTCCTTATCATTCATTTCACCTGTTTATGCATCCTTTTCATTCATTGCACGTGTTTACACATCCTTTTTAATTCGTTACATGTGTTTATACATGCTTATAATGCAACATGTTTTTGATACATACATCCTTATAATTCACTACACGTTTTTACTTTCAAATCATTCACTACACGTGTTTGCACTTCTTATCATTCACAACACGTGTTCAAAGGTTCATATCACTCACTACACGTGTTCCTAATTCATCCCTAACACGTTTTTATAATTCCTTCCGGTGATTGCAAGGCCTGAAAATGATCATATATATTTATAACGACTGAAATATTGGCTCTTTAATCCATACTATTTTGTTATGATTTGGTTTCTGAACGTGTCTGCATGAATTGCGCATGTCCCTTTTTACTTTTCAAATCATATGAAAAATATCAAATACTTTAGAAAGATTTGTTGTCCTGAATGTCTTTCCTTACCCTCGCTTTATAGTAGGTGAGTTTACAATAACCTATATATTAAGTAGTCTTCATGTGGAAAAACATTTGAGTTTTAAAGATAAAGAAAATATCACATTTTTGTATTACATCAATAATTCTGACGCTTCAAAATTTGAATTGATTCTATTTTAGGTTTGACAATGATTAATTTTCAGGATATCCCTTCCATAGGACAGGAGAGGTGGTTCCCTCTGGAGGGTCGAACTGCTCGGTCAAACATACAGGGCGAGATAAAACTCAAGCTAAGTCTTGCCACGCGAGAGGACCGTGGAATTCCAGAGGACGATAACTGGACAGATGTTCGACAACATGAAGATCTTATGTCTGTGTTTGTGCAACACGAAGTCAGAAAAATGGACGTACGTTATTCTGACCCCCCCACCCCCACCCCCCCCCCCAGAAAAAAAAAAAAAAAAAAAAAACAAAAAAAAAAACAAAAAACAAAAAACAAAAAATAAATAATAAAATCAAACAAAATGTAACTGATGTAAGTTTAACTTTTTTGACTTAAAATGAATGGTCAATATATCTTTTTTTATTCTCATTGTATTATTCAGGATTCTCCATCAAAATGGAGAGGAGAACTGCCGAAAGCGGCAATGACAATTCTCCATCAGCATGCAATTCAGGGTGACGTCACAGATGCTCAGCAGGCAATGTGGTATGTACTGAAGTGCCGCGCCACGCATGCACGTCCTTACTGAAGTTAACCTTACCACTATTCACATCATCGAAAATCGTAATATGTAATTTGGTATGGTTCGATATATAATTTAAATAACAAAATAAACACGTTATTTGGATAGATCAAAATTGTTGTCTGATATTTAATGTTGGCTTTTATTTACTGCATATTATTACATTTAGAATTTAAGAAGTGTACAATTGTCTGCATTTATGTCTATTATTTATCCGCGACCTAAAATCAGGCGTAAAGTGACTAGCTAACAAAAGCGTAATCCAAACTCAAGATACACTCTAATGATAGGCACGATGTCCATGTACACGTCATCCACCAGAAAGAAGAATAAAAACATAAGATTAAGCGAATATATTGCTTTATCGACGTCCACCACATCAATCAATACGTTATCACACATTCTAAAATGATAATGAAATTGCTTAACTTTTACAAGGTCTATAAGAAACTGTGAACATAAGAGAAACAAGAACTCACCTACACGTTTAGCTCAATATTGTTCAAACAGAATTTGAATAAAACTAGAAAAATCGTAATTTAATTAGCACTTTTGGCTTGGAGATGTAAGCATAACTTTAAAAAAAATCATGCAATGTTTAATATTGTATTTTACGGTTTATAGTAAATGGATAGCTTATAGTCGGAAACACATGGAACATCATTTCGACTACAGAATTCTTCTAAAGCTGCTTGGAGAACTCGATCGGTTATGGACACCAGATTCATTTTCCCGAGAAGAGGTTTGTTCACTAGCTCTATCATTAGATGATGTCGTGATCTCACGTGGGTTTTGTTGAAACCGATATCAAAAGACCAATAATTCCATGTTCTAAAATCCTTTAGGTTTACATTATAATTATGATAAATTACAGGAGAATATATTTTCAGAATGACTGTCAGGAGACAGTAGCTGTCATACATCAATCTGATGTGTTTTATATTTTCAATATGTTATTAGATTTCTTTTGACTTGTCAAGTTAAATTCATTGACGTAATGATGACATGGTGAGTCTTGTTTATGTTTTCTGTGGCTCTTAAGACTAGACAATCTTGTTAGTACGCCCACCACTAATTGGGGTCGTCATCTGTCCTTCCAATATGTTGAAGAATATATTTCCCTCGTGCCTGTCAGGTTAGACAAGCAGCCTAAATCTAGCCACCACTAATTCGGTTGGCTTTCCTTGCAGACAGTTTTTTATGAACATATTTCCCTTGCGTTCTGTGAAAAAGTCCGTTGATTGGCCTCCCGCATACTTGTTTCCTTTTCCATGTCATTTAAGATAAGCCTGGATGATTAAGCCACTTCTAATCCCGTGTTCTTACCTTGAAGACTGTCTTTAGGAAAATAGGAAAAAATTGACTTGCTCTATCTAAAAATGTCAGGTTAACTCGTCATAAACAGCAATATTTGCGGACCTCAACTAGATTAGTAAATAATTAAAAAGCATCGTCTCCAATTTCCTCCTAATATTCATTAAATGCATTAAATAACTCACTTGGAAACGTAATTATGAGGAAGAGAATCATCTATTGTATTATATCAATGTAGCGTGTTTCTATTATCTTGTTGTCCTGCCAAATGGAAGTAACATTTCTGTTAAGATATGATAATGAAAACATAATCTGTATTTTATCATGCTTGATTAGGATTACCAAACACCTTAATGATTATAACGTTAAATCTTACAGGAAGAATGTCTTGCTGAGTCCTTCAAACAATTCAATCAATACTGCCTTAGTCTGCTCAGTAAACAACGAGAGGTGTTCCCGACGACCAGCAAACAAAGCATTTGTCGCCTCGAAGCCATGATGCAGTGAGTGAATATCAGTTGTAAATCATATCAATTAAGATGGAATACCAAAAGGAAACACATTATTTAGAACTTTATAGAGTCGCTTGATTCTTGTTTATATTAAGTGTTCTGAGGTAAATGTCATATCTAGTGTTAAAAGCTTTGGATAAATGGAGATAACATTTGATGAAAAATATGTATAACAACTGCAGTAAAAGCCGTTTAGGCCCTCATTTCCTTTAATGTCTTCACAAGGTCCATTCCGCTTTCTCATGAAACGCATTTAAGAGATTTATCTATGAGTGGCATATAATAGATCCTGTTACAAATGCGACTGAATGTGGTATGTAAGGATCAGTCTGTTATCTCAATCATATCCAGTTATGTTCTTGTCAAACGTTTTATTACTGTATACAGATATTTAATATTCAGCAAGTAACAGTAAAATTGTTCCCGGGTTTCCAAATGTTCACTGTTCACTATGTCTTTAGGGGCGTGTAAGGAAACGCATACTTTTATAAACAGGGATATCTCAGACACAGTTTTATTGGCTACATAGCATCTTTGAAGTAAAATTGAAGACAATGTCCAGTTTAGAGATAAATGTTTTTCTCAATTTTCAATTTCAACAAAACGTTTCCATCAAAGCGGCATATCTCCTGACGTGTTGACTCTATAGACACGGATCTTCACTATTTTAAAGTTCTGAATATTGATATAAAAGAGGAGATAATACATGTATATGTATGATCAATATCTCGTAATTATCGAAATATTCACAAAAATATCTGCCTTATATAATAACATATACATTTGTAGCTTAATAGCACACGACAAACACGCAGGAGGTAACTGGTGGAGTGTGTAACAATATGACTAATCCTTTTTGTGATGACAGGTGCCTGGCAAATGTGTACAGCATAGATGTATTCAGACGAGTTTGTCCGTTCGAAAAAGAACTTCATCCAGAGGTCAAGGTCGCAATAAAGGTACTATTAAAACTGAATTGTCCTTGACAGATTAAATTGATTCTAATTGACGTCTTACTAAAATCCTGTGTTATTTCAATATCATCTTATTTTTCAAAAACTATGATTGGTGCAATTCCAATCGTGTATTTTCACTATTCCATTAATTGTGACATTTTTGATACACGATGTTCCAAATGATGCCGCATACAAACTATTTAACAAGTTAAGTTTATGAGGAAAACAATAATTGATATGTTCTGGAGGATACTGTAAAAGCACTTGAAGGGAACCACATATATTCGCATATATTCGAATTTACGCGAAATATTCCCTGCAGTAGTCAAGTTTGCAAATTAGCTAATCTTGAAACTGTACAACATCCAAAATCGTTTGTGCTTTTGCAAGATATTGACTTTCAAGTAAAGTTTCAAATTATTTATTTATTTTTCGCTGTTTTCATTTTTAGATATCAATATCCCAATAGCAATCTTTTAGATAGTTGTTGCTAAAACTTAAAGGATAAATCGCAATATAAAAATGCACACTACTTACTTTCCTGTTTTAAAATATGTCAATATTATATTTTGGAACATTTTCATCATGTTGGTAATAACAAAGTAGACTACACAGTCACCTTCATCAAGCAAATTACCAGTGTGGAGGGTACTAGCACAGGCATACGTAGATGGTAACAAATCGACCAATTTTTTCGGCTGTACTATAATTCTATGTTCACTGAGGTACGTCATTTGTCTGATGAAGGAGGCGGCCGTGATTGAAATGTCACACTTTCTCTCCTACTGGTTGTGTTGAACTTATTTTCCAATGTGTCAAAATAACCTTTGCATTGCAGAGAGGCACTCAAGAATGGTATGACAGGATAAGTCACTTGAGACATGCCAGCTCAAAGGTAGGCAAATGATGTTCTATATATTAAAATGATTACCAATAAATATATAAAGTCATTACCACTTACCATCGACAACAGTTTAAGAATGATGAAAAAAAACCATCGGATTTTGTAACCTCAGTTCCGGCACAATCCCTACCCAGGCTATTTGTGCTTCTGAGGAAGCAGAGACCACGAATTGTTCTGTGATGACATGGTTGTGTCCAAGGGCGAGACATTTACCCCTATTGCGCGTCAGGTTCAGTCAGGTTTGGCTTATACGAGGAAACACCATCCTCAAAGTTGACCGTGGCTGTTCTTGGGGAAATACGTAAATTATAACCGAAAAATCAGGTTGCCTCTCACACAAATACAGATTACATCAGCAAAAGACAGGATAATCGGCATTTGAATAGAACCAAAACAAATGGGAGGACCTCGAGTAAGAGCAGCTGAATCTCAAGATATTCACATTGTTTTCTTGTGTGCAGCTCACGTTTTTTTTTTTTTTTTTTTTATCATTTTGGGTCATCGCTTGCAATACGTTCAAATATGGCCCGTACATCCTGTATGTATTGATGTGAAACTTTAAACAAAGGAGCGAAGATAGAATGAATACGTAAATTAAAATTGGATTTATCGTATGTAGGTAAACAATTACAACCAATTTCTCCGTTTCAGACAAGTGACCATGAAGAGGACATCATACAGCGATTGATCGAACTAACAAACCTCTTGAACGCCGATTTGATATCTGCATTGTCGACCTACAACCTGCTATATGAACAGTAAATATACCATTTCCAGTTAAAAAGCATTATTCAAATTTGTTATTTGGTGTTCTATTCATATCGCTCATACCTTGGTGTGAAAATTTATCGCATACTAATATACTAGCACTACATGTAAAAGGCAATTGAGATATATAGGCACCTTTGGTATTTTGTCCTGTACATATACTCTCATCGCTATCGTTATTAGGCGATCCAATATAACTGTCAGGGCTAACAAGTTAATAGATTTTTTTATGCGTTACTCTAAAGCATTGTTTCAAAACAACACCGATAGATATTATAGTACAATAAATCAATGTCTATCAAACGTTTACAATCTAGAGATGGTGTTATACACATTCTGTGTGAAAATTGACCCACATATTTTGAATATGAAAGTCATATCATGATAAATATCAAAACGTTTCCTCCTTTAGAACATTTTTCTTTTTACATTTCAACGCGATTGTTTTAAATCATAATACGTTAAGACAGTCTTGTTACTGATTCTATAATTAAGGGGAAAAGCGCAAGTATACTCGTTTAAACAGCGGGAACAACGACAAACTGCCGTTACTGTTTTCAGATGAGTCTACTTTATCTTTGTAGAAAGAAAGCATTTCAAATTGATTATTCCATCGTAACCGACACATTCTATAGGTCCACCGCTTTCGAAGTAAAGCTTATCAGACACTTTCTCGATGTGACATTTTGATATTTGCCCATTCGTTTAGATAGGTGTGTATGGAGTAGAGTCAGTGTTGATTTGTCCACCGTGTGTAATTAACTACATAGGCGCAATAAGCAAATTTCACCGCCCGTCAAGCCTTATCTTTGTAACTAATATGTACAACCATTACAATAATCTCTTTCCAGGACGGCTATATGGCTGGTTCCTCCATAAAAAATCCATTAAGGTTGTTTATTTGAGTAGAAACGTGTAAATGTTTGATTTGAAAGATGATAATAATATCAAGGTGTCAGTTAAGTTGAGGTTGATGTTGGCCTATTTAGCAGCGTTATGCCTCTCTTACCAAGAGAGGAATGATCACTTGACATTGATATATTTTTTCTGGCATTTTGAAAGTATTTACAAGGGTAAATAAAATTAATGGTTTTGATTATGATAATCGATACCAATATCATTTATATATATAACTATTGATATTTGAAGCCTGATATGCTTGATAATTTTCTTATTCAAGGATTTTTAAAGTACATTACTGCGCAACCACATATCGTCAACTGGAAAAATGGGTAAGTTTCATTTCCTTCCTAGTTGTTGATGTCTACATATACTTAAACGTTAACCTTAGATATATTGTTTTAACAATTGAAACTAAATGTTACCCAATACATTACTATCGCTCACAATAAAAAGACACGTGCATTCTTTTATCAAGATACCCTTTAGAACATTGAATAGTAAATAACTTTGAATATGAAAAGGAAAACATTCAAATTAAAAACAGGATATATGAAATTCTAAAAATCTTAAAGATCTTAATATATTATAGTGTATGGCAAACTATGAAATTTTCCTCAACGTGGTAACAAAGCTACTTAATTTAGAAACGTTAGTTTGTATGTGTTTGGTTTTGAAAGCTCGACAATATTGCTCAGTTCTGCCCTGTGTTGCTTGTTTTTAGTGCATGGACATATGGGTTCGTTCGTGCAATATGTGTACATTTCGTTGAATGGAGTCCCGCTTGACAGTTGCTAAACCTAGTTATTATTTAATAGGATAATTATGCAATAGTTCTTCATTAATATGATTTTATCCTGGTCCAATAGTACTATGTAAACAAATGACTAAACAATATGTGATGGCAGATATTGAGAATTATTATTTTGTACTTCTGTTTGATTTTAGGAAGTTAAAATATTGATACTAAAACTTTGGTTGATTTCTCTATTGTCTGGAAACACAGGATACTTCGAATTATATAAAATGGCATTTTTTCACTTGAGTTACAAGGATACAAATTACAGCTGAAGTTATTTTTCGATATTAATTGATAGACTAAAGAGAAAAAACATATTTTAATTAGATTTGTTACAGTATTTGCTGTGTTTTCAGATATTGAAATATTACAAGTGTATTTTATAGCCATCTATCAACCAATGAATAGATCTTAGAGCGAATGTCGCTATATATTGTTTATTGTTGTGTGTTTCTGTTTTCTGTTAATAATATGAAACCTCTTTACAACAAACTGGCTGGTTTTTGAAGCAGGAAAAAAAATCGAAAAATTACATTTTTTGGATTTTTTGGAACAAGATTTTGTTAAATGGATTAACGAGAGTAATCTGTTTTCCATAGCAAAATATAACGACCAGCTGTTATTGTCTTATTTCACAGCTTTCAACAGATGTATTCAAAGGCCTACAGGAAGAGGTCTGTGCATGCATTTTATGTTAATGTTTTGAAGCTTTTTTTTATTGTATTACATTTCTGACAATGTAAATTTTCACAGTAGACAAGTAGTTTTGAGCTTCCAGGTAGGTACCACTGCTTACGATGAGAACATATTTCCGAATGTTGAAAATCTTCACTGTTAAGAAGGTGTTTTATTGCACTTGTGACAATGTTAGAAATTATCTCGTTTCCATTGTCTTACGATTTTTTTATAAAGAGACATATTACTTGAACTCAAGTGCCGAGAAATCAAAATTGTAAACATATAACATATTGTAATGTATATTTGTTATTTTATTTTAGATAAAGCTAAAACATAATATCCTTAAAAGCACTTGGCATACGGTATATCTCTTGTGTGGTTATGGGGTGCAGCTAGATATAGATATTTAAGCCTTTGATGAGTATTGTTTATATTGAATTATAATTGATTGCAATATGAAAATATATCGAAGATGTTAGTTTTAATGATACACATCCTTAACATCAGGAATATGAAAATATTCGATAGTTTTAAAACAACCTGGATATCTTATTCTTATTATAAATCCATTATTATCATGATCATGACAATTCAACAACTGCAATTTTACATTTCATATTTGCTAATGTTTTCAAACTCGTTGGTTGTTTTATGAACTATTTTATTATGCGTACATGTTTAAATTCAATTATCGTGTTTCACTTCCGATCAATATTGTTTTTTTCATATAAATAAACTTTTCTACATAATATTCTTGCACTTTCATCATCTTTCACAGTTTATCATATTTCTATGCTTGCTAAATACTTCTTTAGCTTTATTGGTGGCAAACACTTGAAGTGATCTATCTTTGTTACTGATGATACAAATTTCAAATTAATAGGTAAAATTGTGAATTATTTTTCGTAACTGTTTTATTAAACCTCTTCACCTATTAACACTTTATTTGTTTTTCTATTGAACTTATACTAATCATGTCTGATACGTATCTTTACATCGCTATGTCGAAGTGAACGAGTATTGAAATGCCATATAATACAATGGACTCACAAGCTGTGTGATCTATATACGGAACAAAACGAGAGCTGAACATAACCGAAGACATTTTACTTTTCAATAAATCAAATATTGATTTCACTTTGAAATAAAGAGATATATTTACTAAATATTAATGTAATCCGGTATTATACGACCTACCAATTCATGTTGAAGTTTTTATGACGTAATTTAAGAGAGAGAGAGAGAGAGAGAGAGAGAGAGAGAGAGAGAGAGAGAGAGAGAGAGAGAGAGAGAGAGAGAGAGAGAGAGAGGTTGAAGTATACATGTTACTGAATAACATACTGATACTGCTAAAATAAACATTTTGATAATATTTGTCGATAATATATCCATATCTATATTCAGGTAAAAAAGTGGAGATTATAAATGAGTTTAGATTTGATCTATGTTCTTGAAGTATATTTCTTTATTTTGGCAGAAAGTAGTCTAATATGTTAAACCTGAAAAAAGAACAGATATAATAGAATCATCAGCTTTAAGGTAACCTTGACATTTTTTCTTGTTAATATTTTATTTAGCTCGGTGAAGAATTCAATAAGGATTTAAAACAAACACTGAGCAGAGTTGAAAGCCGATCAGAGGAATCGTCAACGAGAGATTCAAACCTGATAATGGGAACCTGCTTGTTTGAGCTATACTTGGCTTTGCAAGAATTCTGCAATTTTCGGGAAAATTTGCCTAATGGGTAATGTTTTAAATATATTACTAGTGTTATGAAAAAAGCTTTCTATCAATTTTCATTACAATGAGTGTTCTTATTCCAATCGTTTATGAAAATTACACTTATGTTTTTACACAAATAAGAGTAATTTCCCAACTTCCATGAAGCTAATACTATTTTTTCATCATGGTTGTCATGTGTTTTAAAACTGTCGAGGGATCCTTAAAATGTAATAATCTAATTTTGTGAATGTGAGTTAGCCGAGGAAAACAACTTGCCTTTCATATTTAAATGGCCCATTGGCAAAAACAAAAATGTTGTACAAATGAGATTATTCTGAGTTGAGAAAAACACAGTCTTTAATTAATTAGTTGGCTAATCAAATGGTGCACAGAAAAACACCCGCTTTGTTTATATCTTACTGGGACAATAAATAACCTCCAAAAAGAGTTAATTCACTCACGTAATGCTCATATAATTTGTTTTTGGAAGTATTTCATTTTTTATTTCAAATGTAATTTGACATGACGGTATTTTCCGTTACTGATTCATTAGCAGTACCATATCTCTAATGATCCTTCAGATGCCAAGCTATCGTTTGTATTAACATGTGTGTTTTTAACAATATAATTGTGTTTTGCAATGGTTTACAAGTGAATCGTTTATTTATACTGTGCACTCATTTAAACTATGATGAGACGTTGATAATTGTTGGTGTTTATTTTCTTTTCCTCCCTTCCCCCCACCCCACCACTCTCCCCGATCTCCATTTATAAGAATATGTATATCCCTCTGAATATTAAAGAACTTGGAACTTGCATTATTATCAGATATAAATGAAAAGAAACAACTTTTGACAGAATGATGAGGCTTGTGCACCTTTTCCCCAATCTAAATCTGTCATCTATTTCGATCACTTTCTGTATTCCACGGTCTGGACTGGACTATTCATCCCAGAGATTTGCTCTTAGCATCACTGTTGAGTCCTAGAAGGTCGAAACAGCTGTATGCTGCAGTTTAATTACTTGTCTCTCTATCTAATTCAATTTTATCGTAAAGGCGCTATTCACTTGTGTGTCTTTTGTGCAATATTCCAGACAATAAAAAAGCAGGCCTCTTAGTCAGAAAATTAAACTGAAATCATAGCGTCAGTTGTTGTCGCAAGTCCTTCATAGGAAATCGTTTCAAATTTCATGCAATTCCTAGATAATGGCATTTTAAGGAACATTGTGAAAAAACGTGAAATAAGATTGGATTTTGCAGTAGTTCTTATCATTATCCTCGTAAAAACTGTTTTTCAGAGATCAAAGAAGTCTTCAGATTATACATTATTATCAATGGTTCCGGTTTGTTGTGGCTAATTGGATCGAAGTTGCTAGAAAGAAGTCGCTTCAGAGGATCATGAAAGCAGTGGAACTTGACAAGGTCAGTTTATCCATTTTCCATACAGTAAATACAATATCACTGTATTATCCATCAAATAAGGATTGTGTAATAAAAAAAATCCGTCCTCTTACTTAATGTCAGCAGTGATATTGTATTTACTGTATGGAAAATGGAAATGTGTAATAGAATTTAGGTCAAACATCTGGTGTGTGTTAAATAGAACAATGGGTATGTTCATTAAATGAATGAAGAATGCCTTTTATACAAGTAGAATAACATGAAAAAATGAGTGTTAGAGATATGTTTATCGAGAGGATATTGGCAGGGTTAGGTAGCTATTGCACTTCACCATTATGGTGTTGAGAAACGGCAATAAGAGATACAGAGATTACTCGGCGGGACGATTTGAGGCTAGACACCGTAAAATGGAAACCGGAGTTGTCTCGTTTCAAGATATGTCATTCTTCTTCAATTTTGTTTCTATGTAATACATCTACGCGATAAACAGAATATGTTGTATACCAAAGGGAATATTGTGAATAGAAGGTTGAACATTAAACAATCTACCAATCGTAATATGATATATATTCTTAATGAAATTCTGACTTTATAGGTAGCTGAGGTAACGGAGGGCACGAAGTACAGTACTTCAGCTGTCGACGTCTGTTGTTGCTTTTCACAGGTAAAATACACCTTGAAAATGATTATGTTCTCAATTTCTGTAATGACTTTGAACTACTAATAAACAATGAACACAATATCAATACTTATCAATAATTATCAAAATCAGTAAGAGGTTGTAATAAACTGCATCTATGGAATGTTTTCTGCAATGCTATGATGTCAGCTTGGAGCTGTATATAACTAAGGTAGTCTGAATTCTTGCTTTCTCTAACAAAATGGAATAATAAGATCCGCTGTATTGGATCATTAGCCGTATAATGATTGGTAATACTGTGTAAACTGATGTAGATACCTTGCTGTATATAATTGTTAATTCAGGTAATAACTTCGATAAAAAAAATATTTTCCCTTTGAATCAATATAAAATATTTCTTAGATGGCTGGTGAGCATTTTCTTTGTACCATTAGACATCTGAGGAAGAAGCATATATTGATGTATCAAACGCGAAAATGTTATTTAATGTTCCATCGGCACTAACATTTTACAGATGACCGAATTTTGGAAGCAGCTGAATTGGCCAGATCTTATAGACGCTTATCCATTGGTTCAAAAACTAGCAGAGGTAGGTACCGAAGACACGCGGTATAAACGTTAGATTAGATATTTGTTGAACCTCACGTGCTATCAGTCTTCTTAAGGAGAATATTTCCCCGAGGGATTTTAACCGGCAGCTAAAGAAAATTTTCCATTCTGCGTAATAGCTCTGGGGGTTGAAACATCGAATTCGTTAATAAGAAAATAAGTGAATGTGACTTAGGATATCAAGTTTGATTGTGGCGTAAGCTGAGAGAAGATAGTTCAAGGCTACACTGTTTGGTACAGTAAAATAATTAACAGAATGTTTCAAAATATGCTGTTGTTATAGTATTTTTTTTATTTCCAAATTTGCAAAAGATTTGCCGCTGAAATATTTTTTTTTTAATCGATAAAAAGTGGACTTTGCTTCCAGTTACATTTACACGAAGGGTATTAATCCAACAAGTTTGCTTGAGCTTTATTTGAAGTAAAAATAATTATCTTCTCATCAATTAAAGGACATAAGCAAAGGTGCTGTCATGTACGCCGACATGATACACCAGAAACTGAAAGATGAAGGTTACTATGATGAGGTCGGACAGTTTGATGTCACGGAACAGGCAAGTAACACCCCACATAAGAAAGAATTTATGACCAGAAAACAATATATATTTTTGATTTGCGAAAAATGGGAATTATTTTTAAAAAGGGCAAACCAATGTTAGGTCTTTTGATTTCACAATCTGGAAGGATGTTTCCCACAAATTGACCCACCAAGCTACCTGCATTCACTAAGTCTATTCCCGTCACACATATTGATGAATACTGACATGATACATTAATTAACCTTTCTCTATTTTAAAATATTTGCTTTCTGTGATAAGAAGATGACAAAAGTAGAAATTTCCCCACTTAATATATGAATTCCTTTGATAATCAACAAATGAGTGTATAAGTTGTGTAAGTCGTATTGATAACAATTAGATGGTATCCAATCAATATCACTTTTATAATAAGAACAAAATGAGAACAACAAATTTCTTGAATTTAAAAAAAAATTATCTCTACAAATTAAAAGATTGCATTCTATCGTCATCAGTTAACTGAAAAAAATACTTCATTAGGTATTTAATAAACATATCGCATTATTAATGAGTGTTGATTGTGCTATTTCCTATTTTCACAAGGTCAGTTTCTCCATTTTATTTGGTACAGCTATGCATTACAATAAACAACATAGAACAAGTACGCCGGGCCTTGAAACCCATTCCAGAGATGTTGAGATTCTCAGATATACAGAGGGCAGTTGAGGCGAGCAATGGATCAGGGAAAGGCTACAAGTTCAATCTTAACACGATTGTCAAGGAGGCAGACGAAAGTATGGTGAGGAAAATCAAGACGGTGGTCGACAGAGTGGCGGACAAGGTAAATGTTAAAGGAAACAATAGGCCATATATTTCAACAGAGAGGTACTAGAAATGGAAGGTACAAGTATATGTTTAGCCAGGTTGAGGGAACAATGGCCATTTGATACTGGTATTATTATTTTTACAAGTTTTGATTTGCTAGGATACTGGAATGATGATTATATATTTTGCATATACACCTAATGTATCTTAGATGGACAAGTACACAACACGAAAGCAAATTAAAACTTCCATATATTTGAGGTTTGAGGTCTGAGATTTCCTTGCCTCAACCTAGGTCTTGGACGGGGTGAATCCCCTGTCAAAAAATGGTATGACGTCAAAGTCATCTAGTCAATTAAGTAATACTTCCGTATATATAATGTCACGACAACGATGCGAATTACTGAAGCAACAAAAACACATACCCAATAAGGCCTACAAGGATAAGTGAACAATAATTGGTCATCCCTTTGTTAGTGAGATAAGGGAATATCCGCCGTCGGGAGCAAAATTCAGTTTACAAACGTCGGCAAGACTCGTTTTTGCTAGCTTAATCTCCTTTGCCTTCTATTTGACATTCAACTATCTCACCCATCTCCAGGAGAGTGAAAAAATGTTTCAGACAATTCCAGTATACAGTATGCATGCATGATTATCCATGTTCGTGTCTCAATACAATAATGTACCACTAAAACACAAAAAGGATTGAATCATAGATGAAGTTACAACTGCTCTTGTTGTTTTTTCTATATATCTCAACTGTTGGTTCCGATATTAAACTGCTTTCGCACACTTTTTGTCATCAGACAGACAGTATGACCAACATTGTAACTGCATGCACTAAAGCTAGGTTGCATTTCACTTGTTCGGGCTCAATCATATCACAGAAAATGTAGATATAAAGTCGCACGAGCTTCTTATAGACGTGGCAATACATAAATGCTGGGACGAATTAAGTGGAATTAGAAAATGAACAACATCGCGTTAAAAAGTATTTATAACATTTGTTTTTTCACATGTATATCTACATACTTACATCAAAAGTAAACGTACTTCTTATATTGATAAACCATGGCCTTCCGTTCACTGTATGATTCTGTTTAAATCATAACACCAACAGTCGCATTGATGATGAGATTTCTTTAAAATCAATGATACAGACGAAACTGATGTCATATCATTGGAGTAGATTATCAACAGAAAACTAACACGTATTTTGTCTTAAATACAACACAAAGAAAAATGCTAAGGGGATACAAAAGTTGTAAATAACATCCTTTTGGTAATATCGGCTTTGAGAGACAAATAGATGACGTTATTAATTAAATCAGAGATTACACCACGTTTGGAAACGAAAAAAGAACAATGCTCTATTAATATGCATGTATTTGTTCTCTTGACAGATGAGACCAGATATCAAAAAAGATGTATTCCACCTAAACTGGGCACCAGAATCTGTCCCCGCCGATGACGTTAGTACGCCATAATTGATTTCAATACGAAGTTTTTTTTATCGTCGCGATGCTTTTTAGTCAAGCATATCAATATATAATTCTGGCAGATAATATTTTTGTATCTGAAGTTATAGCGAAAGTTGTCGATCGTTATGTTTTCACTTTTGTTGATAAAAGATATTCATAATTACTATGAACATGTCACTTGTATCGATGTTCTAGGCAATTGGAGACCTACTTACGTATCTCGACAGCAACTTGCTGACTATGAATAAAAATCTGCTGAAGACTAACTTTGACCGAATTCTGTTATCACTCTGGGAAGAAGTCCTGGCGGAATTCAAGGAGACGATTTTGAAAGAGGAACCGGTAATTCTAATTTTAAGGGAAAATGTGTTTAGTATTGAAAGGGAAGTGACTCTTACATGCTTACATGGTGTAGCATTTTCATTTTTTCTTTTGACGTTGTAATTGCAATATTTCTGTATTTGTTTATCGAGCTATTTTTGTATTGTTGATTGACCTAAATTTAAGTCATACAACAATTATGTATTCCTAAAATATATTTTTATCTTTTAGCGACAGCCTATCCTGTATAAGAGGATGTATGACGCATTAGAACTGCTGGTCGACTTCTTCTACGCAAATGAAAAAGGTCTACAAATGCCGAAAATTCAATCGGAACAATACAAGGTAAAGGAACTCCTTTAAAAGGATTCATTAATCCGAACAATTGATTAATCCTGTTTTACAACAAATGATAAGGTACAGAAATGTTCAGTAATCTAAGATTATATAGCTCATTTAAAATCCTGTCAAATGAGCACTTTCTGTTTCAGGACCTGAAAGGATTGCTTGGCCTACACAAGCTCAACACATTTCCGTTGATAGAGGTTTTCTTCGACGAGAAATTACAACAACAGGTAAGTAAATTTCTTTTAGAATTAAAAAAAAGATATCAAAAATACATATTTATTATAAAGTACGCAGGGAGACATACGATGAATGATCGTTTGGTACTAACCAAGATAAATGTTTCCCTCAACAGAAAGAATGGACAAGTAAGGAGTTCGGTGTCCTCAACGTGAGGATGTGTTATAGACAAGACTCACAGTCTCTTCTTGTGGAAGGTATGTGTATTTAGTCAGGTATTGGTGGAAAACACCGAGAAGAAATCTATACATATTTGATTATTTGGTTTGCATTATCAATGCTGTATTTAAAGTTGGGATTCTATTAAGCATTTCAAAATAAATATTAAAACAATGTTTGTACTTAACAGTTCAGAAATGTCTACTTATTTCTTACAAATACTGATATTTCTCTAACCCAATACCAGTTATACATATTAGTGGGTTTCATTCATATGAATTGTCTTTTTCTTTATAATTATATGCACTTTCCTTCTGTAAAATCTTTAGAATTGAATTAAAAACCTACGACATAGATATTTGTGGCGGATGTATTTATAAATATTCATCTTGTATTTGTCCATCTAGTTCTAAATGCAAAAGATGTTATACCGCTGGATGCAAATGGTAAGTGGTTTTGATAAAATTCTCTCATGTGTCACTGTCAAGTAGGTGTTTGGTGCAAACTTGAACTACTTTTAATTTTTACATCTGCTATACAAAGTTTCATTTCAGTAATAAATCAAAATGATACATTCATAATGGACGCAACAGTTCTTAGTATTCCTAAACAAGCAATTGAACATATATAATCATCTATCTAGCTCATTATTAAAGTATTTGATAAAAGATACCAAACTTTGAGTTATAATCTGTATATATAAGAAATCGTAATTGTCATTTTATCATAATATATTATTGGGAAGAAGTTGCTATTTTACTTCTGCACATTCTGCTTGATCTTTATATTTATGGAGAAGGATTAATGTCTATCTCCTTTCTTTTTTTCAGGTCTTAGTGATCCCTTTGTGCTACTCCAGTTGTGCCCAGAACACGTGTTTCCAAATGTTACTATACAGAAAACGAATATTGTCAAAAAGACATTGAATCCAATATTTGAGGAGACGTTTGAATTGTAAGTACATGTACATCATTTTGGTAAAATTTGATAAGACGTATATTTGATTACTACATTGTGTTTTAAGGCAAACCGTTTCAATAGAATTGAAAGCTGAAATTTTCCTAATATCAATTTCTTGTATTATTCGTAATTCTTGTCAATCAGAAGGATTTTACGCTAAGTTCATAGATTCTTTGATATTCAATTAATTCATAAAATTCCTTAATACTCAAATGATTGTTTTAAAAGTCCATATATCTTACGGTAGCACACACGTTATCAACAGTGTTGCTTTTTACTGTTGATTTTGTATTTATTACAGTAATGGTGACTTATTTGATATTGATTTTCCTAATTTCTTTCAAATGCCAATATTTCATCTGTCCTTAGTTTTATTTTTGTGCAAAAATATGTAAATCCTCCTAGAAATACGGAACAGTCATCGGCATTTGAGGCATCAAATTTGTTTCATTTATTGATTAAGTAACTACATCACTGAATAACATTCACGAAATATATTGCATATCAGCGAAATATAAAAGTAATCGTGTTAAAGATCAAACTACATTAGGTTTTAGTCTCACCCACAAAATTTTAAACGGATTTGCTGAAAAAAATGTAATTAGTCATTACGTCTCTGTTTCAGTGATATAACGCCTGAGCAGTGCCGTCATGCTGGAGCCATCCTACTGATGACTGTGATGGACCATGACTATGTATTCCAGAATGATTTTGCCGGGGAGGTGTACGTAAGTCTGTCAGAGTTGCCGGGAGTGGACGAGGAGATATCAGGATTCGACGCTTTAAGCATTATATCACTGCCCATGATGCAACCCAAGCACAAAGGTTAGTCCGGAAACATTAAGAAATGTTATCAGCGAAAAACGATCTTCAAATCGCTCTTTGACAAATAAAAAAAAACTGTCATGATTAGCAAACTCGGTCAATAACGCACTGAAAACTGGTGACCCAAATTAAATTTCAAGACTATGGTCAAGGTACAGTTATCAATAATTAAATACAAAGTATTTATCCGGAAAAAAAGTTGCTAAACACACCACAGTTAGGAAAACGAGCATTATTATATAGCACATTTTGCTTCTAAGAAGCCTGATGGGACTAGTATACCACTATATTATTTAATCCTTGTATTACATTTGCTTTTGGGTGCAGAAAGCGGGGCCTTGGATGTGTTAGCAGCTAGAACGTGGGATAAGGATGCCGAAGAATTTGTGAAGAAAAGGAAGAAGATCGAGGAACAAGCAGTTTGAAGGGCATTTGCCTTATGCGTTGTACTGGAATAAGCTACAAAGTGAAAATAGTTGTAAAAAAAAGTCACCACAGAAAAGCCTCTAGCACGATCAGGATTTTCACTGGGAATGGATAAAGTAGTCCGTTCTGTTCGCCTCACCTCATGAGGTTTCAGTTATGATCAATATTGGGATTAATATGACGAGAGAAACGAGTCATCTTCATCTGCCCTTTATACCAGAAAATCCATTCCAATAGTAACACCCGTTTACAGGAACTGCCTTATAGTAGCCGTACATAACTATCCTTGAATACGTCAACGCCGATCAGATCGAAGAAAACGAGGATTTCAAACTGAATAACAGTAAAATTCTGTCTTTACTACTATGTTGAAGAACATTTATGCAATCGGCAGTTGTACACGTGCAATAACTATGATATAAATAATTTTACTTTTAAATTTCGTTATTTGTTAGATTTTTATTTGCAGTTCATTGTTTCAAATCCCTTATGATAATTAGATACACTTCAGAATGAATATTTGTATCTAGTTCCTCTTCAAACAGATATGAAAATAAATGCCTTTTTTGTAGAGAAATTCTAATGATAACAAAACGGATAATTATCAACAGTATGAAAATGTGTTTTAAATACTATTAACGATAAGGTAAGAGTAGACAAAAAGAGATTTGATCTTAATAGAATATCTTACTTGATTCATATATGCATCTGAATGATATAGATATCAAAGAATATATTGATCTGTGATTTACTTCAAGGTAAGCTCTGAAGGAATTAACATCGGATGTTATAGATATATAATGTTGATAATGTAATATTGCTAATTTTCAGGATGGGCTGTGAACGTTTTCAGATACATATTACTCAAATGTGGGAAAACATTTTGATTTCGAATTACGTTTTATATGAAAATCAGAATAGTTAAGAATGCGAGAAGCTTTGAAAGATGAGATGTTGAGTTGATGAAAGTTTTTTTTATTATTTATTTATTACTATTGCTTTTCACTTTAAATCACGAATCACAAATGTAATTCATAAAACATATGGTGAGAGTAACCAACACAATGATGCTTTTGAGCAATTATTATTTCTAAAGACTGTACAAAAGACACAGAAATTAATGTCACCTTTAGGAACACATGAAATTAGATACATTAAAATCAAATAATGAATCAAACTATGTCAAACAACTGTTCCGTTCTCTCTGGACTCATCAGTTATGATTCTGGTATAAAAATTATGAAACCTGACAGCGACTGAGGAAAATCTCAAAACGTAGATTTGGATGTGCACTAGCCCTAGACTTCAATATTTTGGAATAGTTTGGATATTTTCTTTCTAATAAGGATTAAAGAATTAGAAATAAGAACTTGAGAAGTTTATAAATACAGTATTTGTCTTACGTATTTAGGTAGATAGCTAACCTGATAATATGTTATGCAATATTCTAGTCCTGTAAAACAGTCATAATTAGTTACAATTGCTGAAGTTTACTGTAGATTAACAAACGCATTACATTATATTCTGGTCATTTTGATGTAGCCCTTGTTTATGTCGTACGTACGCAGGCCTATACATTCCAGTGTAAATGTGTAATTGCATAGTCTACATTTTAACACACAAAGTTATATATAAATGTGTGCATCTTCGTGTGGAGAATGAGGAAGAATATTTCATATTTTGCTTTTTTATGAATATCTACATATACATTCGCATTGCAGCTTATTTTTTTTATTATAATGCATTTACGTACCTTCATATATCGCTCTCAGTTTTAATTAGCACGATAAGTACGTTTTGGCAAAGTAGATAGGGTGATTATCCGTTCATAGATTAGGACAATATCTAATAAATCTCTAAGCGTTGATTTTACTTTTTAGCGAAAAAGGAAAAACAACAAAAATATGCATTAGTGAATTTACCACACGAGGACTTTACAGTGCTAACTAAGATACCCCCTTATGTTTTCCTGAAGGTATGGGGTACTTTCAAATTGAAACTATATACAAATATACATATGAAGCATTTGTATTTTTTTTGTATTTTTTTTGAAAGGGTTTATTCCACCTACTATGTACAAATATACTATATAGATGTGTAATTAGTGTATTACCCTGAATATATTAAATGCTAACTGCACACCTAACTAATTAAGTTATCGAGGATGAGAACATCTCAACAAGAACGAGAAATTAATATTTCTTCCTTGGAAATATGATAATAGACGTGAAACTTGCATGTTGTATAAAAAAGCAGCTCCAATGAGTATAGATTGAACGCCTATCAATAAATTAGGGACAGAAAGTAATTGTTGTCTATGAAGTCCGGTGTCATGTGTAAAAAGAAAATTATTTGTTGGAATACAGAACATGTTTTTTTTAACAATATTTCACGCTATATTTTTATTGTGATTATTTTCAGCACTGTGATGTAGCACTGATCACGCACGAGTCTAACGAAGGCATTGCATTTTGAAAAGGAAAAAAGAAAGATAATTTGTTTTCTGTTGCTGTAAAATAGAGTTATAAATAACAAAACACCTACGTGAGATATCCCCATTTTATCAGACATATTCTGTATCGTATTTAATTTTCAAAAGGTCGTATATTATTGTTATTATAAAGCAAATATGTGGCCATATTAAGGCTTTATTATTGTGAATGTATGATATTCTTTGTGAAATTGCTATGCGTTGTATTTTTTATTCATTGTAATTTCTATTTGTATTGATGCAATGTCAACTTATAAAGCTTCCTTGCTCTAACTTAACACTGTATTGTCTATGATACGAGAGTTTTTCGATTGATCATAATAGTTTCACAATTAGTTTCATGAATAAAGCAATACACTTAGAAGATAAAAACACTACTGATTTGCTTTTGTGAAAGGTGATACCGAATATCACTCGAAGTGATTTTACGAGTTTCGTTTTGAGTGAAACAAATGTTTAGATAGTATTTATTATATTGTTAGATGTATTTGATTTTCATTTATCACCGAAAATTAAAACATTCAATCAAAACAACACCTAATGTTTTTAAAGAAAGATTTTACAAATATTTCGGGAGCAATTCGGTTCAAGCTCAAGTGCGAGTTATTTGCAGTATCCAATCAAATGCAACGTTAATTAAAATATTCAATAAAACAATAGAAATTTATTATACCGTATGATTAATCATGATTTGTGTTTGGTCATTTTCCATTCTTTTTGCTTAAAAATGTGCATGTTCATTCTAACCTACGTCGGTAATAGTTCCTTAATAAGAAACGTGTAAGATAAATACATCATTGTAGATACATATAAAGGTATGGATAAAAGTTTTGAATATAGAAATTTAATGGACACCATTATGCTTTCCTAATGCTATATGAAGTTCGATGGTCCTTAGTATGATACAGCCGTTACATTGGTTTAATGAAGATTTAATAATGTGTTAAAATATTTTGTTTTTGCAACATTCTGAAATATGTAAATCAAAACAAGAATAAAGATTCCATTTAAATGCAAATGATGTTTTTAAAAAAGCCTTATTTTGGTGGATAGTGTGCTGAATCTGTTTATATTTTATGGTAAAATTATTCGATTGTTTCATCATCAGGTATAAAAGTATGGTGGAGAAACGTTGTAAGTCTTCGCAGAGAAGTACTTTAATGGAATATATTTCATGTTTCTCTGAATATTTGTCAACTTTGACAGCGTAACTCCAATATTTTATCAACCTAATGTTGCCTTTCATTCCATTATATACATTATGGTAGTGTTACATCTATACCTAATGTTCCGTAGTCAACAAAATGTGTTATTTGTTATGTCGTTTACAATAACGGAAACTACTTTAATTGTGTTTATTGTTAAGTAGAAGAACTTAAAGCATAAATCGTCATTTTTTATATTTGAATATTTCAAATTATATTTTTGAATATCAATTGTCTGGATATTTTATCTTGATATATATATACAGCTTTGTTAATTTGTGATTAATAAAAACAATAAGACAGCATTACCATCCAATGACAATACTTAATCGATCACTGAAAACAAAAACAGGCGATATTGCAACAGAGGAAAAGACATCTGGAACCACAAACAAAAATCATAGAAAAAATAATTTATTTGCAAACATGATTACATCTTACTTTGATAAATTTGATGGAGGTGAGATCGCTATTCTTTTTTGTGCCATAATATCCCCTGCACACGCATTGTACACTAAAGTCCACTGATTAACCTGCGTAGCACTTTAATTAACTCCTGAATAATAATATTATGATAGATGGTATTATGTTAACATTCCTTTCTTACTAATAACACAAAAAATGTTCATATTTATTGAAGCAAACATATGTTGGGAAACTAATAATGTTATCAACTGAGCCACCGTGTGCAAATCTGTCTGCAGAGTATCATTTGTGACTGTTATGTCTTTACAATTTAAATGATATCGTATCGTACAGATGTGCCTGCTGTATGGTAACTCACTACACAGTTTAATTTTATTATTCGTGTTTATGAAAAAGTTCTATGTGTACCTGTTTTGTGAATTTGCAAAATAAAATAATTCCACAAATATACGTTTTCAGTCAATTTGTTGTTATTACAAAGGCAATTTACCGAAGACACTGTCCGTACATTAACACTCGTATATTAACATTCATGTATTAACACTCGTATATTAACACTCCTGTATTACCACTCATGTATTAACACTCCTGTATTACCACTCCTGTATTAACACTCGTATATTAACACTCCTGTATTACCACTCCTGTATTAACACTCCTGTATTACCACACGTATATTAACACTCATGTATTAACACTCCTGTATTACCACTCATGTATTAACACTCGTATATTAACACTTGTATATTAACACTCATGTAGTAATATTCGTATATCTACAATCCTGTATTAACACTCATGTATTAACACCCGTATATTAACACTCCTGTATTAACACTCGTATATTAACACTCGTATATTAACACTCCTGTATTAA